ATATTCATTCCATTTTTGTAAATGTATAGGCCGGCCTGATTTTGTTAACATACATGATACACTCTTACTTAGTATTACATCAACTTTTCACCTACATTTTCAGTAGCCAGTCTAAGTCATCAGTGATCTGAACCAGACACAGACAACCACAGATGGAGCTCAATTTAGAGGATCTTCTAAAAGTAAAATATTCTTCATGTGGTCGGGAGGACTAAAAACTCCTCACGTATCTGATTTGTGAGTGTGGATATATGTATGTGCTTTTATTGCTGTTGGAATTGCTGGAGTCGTCTGTTCAAAGGGAAAAGATAGCCACCACCAACAAAGAACAAAAGTGACACCTCTGAAGGCTCTTAAGCCCTCCAGTAGTTGTGACAAGTGATTAAAAGCGGAGCGGGGTTACGCCTCAGGAACTCTTGCTCTCAGCTGCTCCCCTTGAACCCTGGGAGACTTGGTTCACCATCAATTCTGCACAAAGTGAGGCTGTATTTTTCAGTTGAGAAGCAGTCAGGGGGACAGAGACAAACACCTTGGTATGTCAACCTTGAAGTACCACCTGGAGGGCAAGGGCCTTTCACAGTTTAATAGTGGACAGAATGTTATGGTGATGATCTGGGTCAGGTGGTGACTGAAGCAGTCACGGATCCTGAAACAACAGATGTCACAGTGACAGCTGTAATATCCAAGACTTATTTTTCTCCTTCAGCAGCAGAACCAAATAACAGGTAACAGATCTGATCCTACAGAGGAAGCACCGCCTTTCCTTTATTAGTTTGCTCACTTTGACTGTGCAATATTAACTCCTTACGCCATGTGTGCTAAATTTCAAGCTGTGCAAAGTTTCCTTAAGATACAAAATGGAACATATGGTGCTAAAGGCAGACCTTTAATAGCTAAATTTTTTAAAAAGTTGCATGTTGGCATTCCTTCCGCCAAATTCTCCTTGGTTCCCACTGAGAAAAATTATCTGCCTTTTAAAAGCCTACTGGCAAATTGGTAGACAATTACTGACAAAGTAGCTCTCTATCAATAGTGTGACGTCCAGAATATCATGATTATAAATATGCCACAGAATTTTTAAATGGCCCAATATACTGGATAGACTATGAGACTATAAATTTCATTGATTTATAAAGTATATAGAGTGGTTTTACAATGTTAAACAATGAACAGATAAAACAGTGTCTAGCATAATATCTGACATAGTAGACACTCAATAAATATTAAACAAGTGAATAATGTGTGATCCAAGACTGCTTCTGGAGCTTTAGGTGACTGCGTCGTTGCTCTTAAGTGTTTATTACTTGCCCCGCCTTTTCTTAAAACTTTAGTACCATTCTACCTTTGTCTATATATACCTTGCTAATTAATCCTGTCCTAAATAATATGATACACTGTTTTCTTTTATTTGTTTGTGTTTAAAATATATAGGGCGCAGTAAAAGGAAAGCAAATGCCACAAGTTAAAAGAACTTTTAAGGAGTAACAAAAGGAAAAGCGTCATTTAAACTGGACTTCCAAATGCCTTCCCTGTCAGAAAAACAGCTTCTTGCTTCTCAACTGGTATGGAACGGAGTAATTGTCCACTGCTGAGTGTCTCTGTGTTCCAGCCCGGGGCTTTGTGTCATCTTTTGGGGCTGATCACAAGTTCCTCTGGAACTTGCTGTCACATTGTCACCTCACCCTCAAATTGCTTGAGTAGGTGTATCGCAGTAATACAGTTTATATCCTCACCAAATCTCAGGTTGAATAATGATCCCAATAATGGAGGTGGGGATCTTGTGGCAAGGGATTAGATCATGGGGGCATAGCCCTCATGAATGGCTTAGCACAATCCCCTTGGTGAGGAGTGAGTTCACGCAAGATCTAGTTTTTAAAAGCATGTGATACCTCTCGCGCTCTCTCTTGCTCCTGCCTTTACCATGCCATGTGCCTGTCTCTGCCTTGCCATCCACCAGGGAGGCTTCCTGTGGCCTCCCAAGAAGCTGAGCAGACGCCAGTGCCATGTTTGTACAACCTGCAGAACCATTAGCCAATTAAACCTCTTTCCTTTATAAATTATACAGTTTCAGATATTTCTTTATAGCAGCACAAGAATGGCCCAACACACATGGCATTCTTTTCTTATCATAATCTTGTCTACATTAGTAGAGCTCACTCCAGAGGCACTTTCTCTATCAGTCCCAGAAAAATTGGTTAAGTTTTGGTATTATGACTCAGGACTCATGGTCATTCCAGCTTCCCGCTAGTAGAAGTGAGGAGATAACTGGTAAAGACATGGCCTCATGTCAATGATCGTTATTCTCATGAATAAAAGAGCATTATTCTCATGCTCTAATTGAGCACCTACTATTTGCTGGGCCCTGGAGACATAAACAAGTGAAAAGCAGTGTGTTTCCTTAAGAAACTTAGAAATGTACACTGGCAGATAACTGACAACATAAGGCAGTTCGTGAAAAACAGTCCAAATTGATGATACAGACATTAATTGTTGGAGGAGGACGTGGATGTCATAGAATGCAGCAGTTGAGCACAACACCCAGAAGATACAGGAGAAAAATAAGTAGGTTGAGACCAGAATCCTAAAGAAGAAAAACCATAAAATGTCAGAAAGGGTTAATTTCATTTGAAATCAAAGTAAAAACCCTGAAAGCAAGAGTGAAGATTTTTATATTCATATCTAACCTATTCTAAACCAAGCAGTATGAGGAACCTCACAAGAACAAGTTTGATTGCATGTCATTGACAGGGTAGAAACTTTCAAATAACGTTGGAGAAATTCCTGAACTTCTGGGAGAGTCTCTGACACCAGCCCCTCCTTCCTACCTGTGGGTGGCCCGATCTAATCATATGAGCAATTAGAACTTGATGTGGCAGGTCACCACCTAGGTGAGTCCTAGAAATATAACCAAACATAAAAAAAAAAAAAAAAAGAAAGAGAAGAAAAAAAAAAAAAAAACCCAGAAAAATCCTCTGTGGGATGAAACCCAATTTTAAGCCTCTAGAGCATAGAAAAGCCCCACTATTCATTAAGGGAGGTCCCACCAGCTATTTTCTCAGGCAGCTTGTATTCACATTAATGAATGAAAGAGAGAATTTTAATGTGCACCTCTGAGAGAAATAAGACCCCCAAAAAGTTCATTCCCCTGATCCCTCTGGGTTTTTTTTCCCCTTTTCCCTTTTCTACTGCATAGTAATGAGGTTTCCTGGTTTTGTCAAGGCAAAGCAGGAGAAGTCGGGTTCTGCCTTCACAGACACTCAGCACCAGAGAGCTTTCCTCTATCTGTAGCCTACTACTTCTTCCTGTGCTTCTAACTCAGACCCAGCCTCAGGCTCTGTCCCAGGGGAAGGGGGTCTGGAAACACAGGCCTCTCTGGCTGGGCTAGGGGGAGCCAGGCCACTCATGGGAAGATCCTGATCATCCCTTTGGTACAAATCTCCAAACACATCCCAATCTTGTCTCCCAGTGATTGATCCTGGTGTCTTCAACCTTCCTGCCTCCCTCCCTCCCTCCAAATCAAAGAATACTTCTGCCTGACACTGCAAGAAAGGCTTAATAACTGAAGGTCAGGATGTCAATCTTATTTGCCCTGAAATATCCCTGAACTTGTAGAAATTCATATTTGTTTATGCTATAAATGAGCTAATTATAGTGATCATAACTCACAATTTAAAACAAACACAGTTAGAAATTTCAAAGACTTTCAGTATCTTTTCTTTAATCATTCACCCAGGCTCAAAATATGCATTTTTTAGATTAAAGCATTAAAGTTGCTAATTATATTCTCAGAACTAACAATTATTTCTTTACCCTTTTACTACCTTCTTCTGGCAACAAAAAATGTCAGCGCTGATTTAATTTTTTGTTATTATAGGATTAAAAGAAGTTTCTAAAAATGCAATTAAATTCGCCCTATAGCTAGAGTAACTTCCCTATCAGCATCCAAAAAAACTTCCCTAAAACAACAGCATAAAAAAATGATTCCGACTTTCTTGACTTTCCTGATACATTCCTTCAGTGATTATCTCCAGTAACAACTCAACCATTTTAATGAAACTCCCTGCACATCACGTCCTGGTGAAAGGTAGAACATATTAGATTAATAAAGAAAATGAAAGTTAAATTGGCTGTTGGAGTGTGAAGCCCTGCCCGTGTCATGCATGGGTTCTTCACCTTTGGGAGCCTAGTTCAACTTCAGCCTGAGGCCCTAAGTGAAAAGTTCAGTAGTCTTGAGTACGTCCCCACTTAATATATCACAAAATCAATTATTTTATGGTAGTACACTTGGTAACCTATGCTCAGACAGAATCAAGTTTTGTTCCCACTGGGGATTCACCAATTATCTATTCAGTGAATTATTTTCAGATAAAGCAGAAACACCTGCTGTCAGCAGAGGGAGTATCTGCCTAATATGGGTATCATTCTGAGCCTGACGTGTTATTGCATTTGTCACGTGCAGGATGGCACTGCGAGACTTTGGATGGATTTATCACATTACCGAGATGCTTGATGGGACATTGGAGCATGATTCAGTGCCCAAAGTTAGAGCTAAAATGCTGTAGCAAAGAGATCCAAAATGAAGCTACATAAAAATTGGGGAAGGGGGTAATCAAGTGTGCAAATGCTGCAACTCATCTGTCTTGCCTTATTTCCAATAAGTCAGCACAAATAAAAATTGTGATCATTCAGCACAATTTCCTGTTACTGGCTATTGACCTGGGCCAGATTCAAAGTAGGAACCAAAGAAGGGCTCCACGGACTTTGATTCCAAGACTGGAACAAAGGTCAGGCTTGAGACAAGCATAGTTTATGAGGACTACTACCCCTAACCAGTTACTTAGGTGGGACTTTGATTCTTTCAGCATCCCTCTTTTCCTTCTCAGAAGTCAGTCAATCTCAAAAGACCGATGGCATTTATTTTTCTCTTTTGCAAAATTAACAATATCTGAAACTGAAACAAAAGAACACACACAATACGTAAGGTATCTCTACAGGCTCACCTGCATTTCAAAATCTCAAGGGTGTAACCCATGCTTGCCAGGTCTCATGATGGATCAGTCCAGGAGCATGTGTGGAACATCTAGTATGGCATGCAGAGTACTATTTGGCCTTACAGAAAGAACAGGAAAGGATTAGGGAGGGCTGAGTAACATGATACTGACATATCGATATGTTCCTTTTATTATTATATTCTTCACTGGAATGCTGCCTATCTAAAGCACAAAGTGAGAAGCCATGGAGAAAAGTATCATTTCCTAGTCAAGAGCAGTTTCTTGAATCAGACAGATTTGGATTCAAATGCTAGATCTACCCAATTATTAGCTATGTCATGTCAAGCATTTATTAAATTATTTAAGCCTTAGCTCCTTTACTTTCAAACTGAGACGAGTGGCTTATAAGGTTATCACGGGGATTATTAATAATATATATATAGGTTTTGCATGATATTCTCCACATAGTAAGTACTCCAAAACTTTTACCTGATCTTTTGGTGGTGGTGATAACTGTTATTGTATTGTTGCTGTTGTTGTTATGTTATTAATGGAAAAGAACTGGATGTGTAAATAGCAAATGATGACCTGGGCCGATTCATAAAATTCTTGGTTCAGAGAACTAGTGGAAGAAACGGATAGGGACTAAGTTTGAGGCTGAAAGGAAAAGAGGTAATGGATTTAGAACAGGCATTAATCTTGCCGCAAAGAATACTAAAGCAGCTCTCAATGATCTTTGCTAATAGAAGGGAGAGGAATAACCTAAAACAAGAGCTGTCTCGACAAGCTGGCATTTTTTAAAAATTGAGATCCCATGAAAGACACAGACATATAACCTGTCAGGTTCTGCTCTGCATTCCAGCTTTGTACTTGGTCCTGTTGCTGGCAGATGCCTGAAACTCGACTGTACCTCTGAGAGAGAACTTCACCTTCCTGGTGATGTAACTGCCACTCTCACAGAGCCCCATGGGCCGCATCATGGAAGAGCTTCACTGGGGCTCAACCCGGCATGCATTCCTCAACCACCTTCCACCCCAAGTGCCCTCCCCATTCAACTCCAAAACTTACTAGTTTAAGGCCAGAAAGTCTACTTATCCTAAAGCAAGCCCTGCTTTCAAATTCCTTACCGTATCCTAAAGGTCTAACCTCCATGCAGACAAACGAATTTGCTTTAGCAAACACAGTCACTCTAGGCCTGGCCTTTCCTCTGAATCTCCAATTCCAAACTCCAACCTTTTCCCCCCTGCCCTTCCCCTCCATCATTACTGTTATTGGCCGATGTTCTCAGCCTTGACTAGCCTCCACTCTATGGAAAACTAGAAGAGGCCAGTGTTAGTGTGAATTTAAAGGGAAACCTTTAGATAAGCTTCAAGCTGCTTACTCCTTAGCATCAAGGAAAAGTTCAAGCTGCTTATTCCTTAGCATGAAGTTAAGGCAGAGTGCATGTTTGAGAGGAATTTAGGTAAATATCAATCCTGCATGCGGTCTTTCCAGATGACCATCACAAATGTTTGCCTGTTCTTTTAACTCAGAACTTAATAGAACACATAGCTGAATTGTGTGATTTTACAGAAATCCATTCATTATACAAATAATTTTTCAACAAGGATTTATTAATTCATTCCTTCTACAAATATTTATGCTAACAAGTACTGTCCTAAGTCCTGTGGGGAAGAGAAGCTGAGATAGATACACAAATATCTAGGCCAGTGGTTCTTACCCAGGTGCAATTTTGCCCCCAGGAGACATTTGGCAAAATTTGGAGAAAGTTTTGGTTATTTTAACCAGTGGGGTGGTTTTACTGTCATCTAGAGAGTAGAGACCATAAATGCTGCTAAACATCTCGCAATATAGAGCACCATCCCCCACAACAAAGAATTATCTAGCTTCAGATATCACAGTGCCCAGGCTGAAAAACTTGACTTCCACTCAAGCCACTATATTCCATATTCAATAGGAGGAGGCAAAGAAAAAGACGGTGGAAAAGTAAAATTCACTTCTGTTCAGGAGTTAAATCTAACTTGTAAAGGTCTCAAGAAGAAAGTAACATTTGACTGTGCCACGAAACTCGTATGAGAGTTTGAAAGCTGGGAATTAAAGAGTTATGGGAAATGGAGAATAACTTTCTAGCAAAAGGAAGAAAAAGTCATATTTTAAAACTATATTGAGGTCTAAGGGGAGCTCCAATTGTAAACAAAACAGCTAGAATCATTTGAAGAGTAGGATGTAGGCGGGAATAAGGAAACAAACTTATCAAGGCCTCAAATATCAGGCTAGACAATTTGCTTTATAGTTATCAGAGACTATTCATTTGAAACACCAAATTGGTAAATGTTAAAAGAACTAATAATTTTAGGCCCTGGTGTATGTATTGTTCTTTTATTTCAGAATCAAATAAATTTGGAGTTGAAAATATATTGTAGGCATCCTTTGGTCAAATGTCCATGTTTGACAGGTAAAGATGCTGAAGCCCAGTGTCTTGCAATTTGACCACACCCACAGAGCCAGTTGTGCAAAAGCTGGGATTTCCATTCACGCTCAGCCTAATTCTTTTGCCATTACTCTTTGCTGACTCCGGAAGGTGCTACCACGTGCATTTTTAAGGCTTTAATTTGCATTGGGTTGCCTATCTTTAACAAGTGCTCACATATAGGACTCCATGTGGACTAGATTGGAGGAAGGATAACTGACAGCTCTCTCTGCCTCTCCACTGGTCTCTGAGTGTTACGGAAAATGATGTAGGGAGCAACTACGTCTCCACACTCAGTTGTGGGCATTTCAGAATCACTTGCAGGTTTTCTTCAAATTCAACATATTTCTTTGAGATTCTAATATACCACCTAGTGATATCCCCAGGCAGCTATTCCCAAACTTCTGAGAATCCCTGCTTTAGAGAACCATTGTTGAGTGGGAAGAAATAAAGATTGAGAGACAGTAATATGGACTTTAACGGGGAGTCTAATCTAACCTATTAAATTCCAAAGTGACTTTATAGTTCAACTTATTTGGATTTCTACACTGAGGGATAGTTTTAGCACTGTAGTATTATTATTAAGATACTCTCATGACACTTGTTCTTCCAGTCTTCCACAATTCTACATGATGTATTTATTTTTAAATACAATTAAATCAGTTTCATTTTGACTTCCCCCTGCCCACCTTTTTTCATGTAGCAAGTTAAAAATCTTTCAAAGCGCAAGAACTCAGGTAAGCAAAAAAGAAACAAATGGTTTATTAGTGGTCAAAAGATTGGAAACTGCTGACTTATATGTGCTTGTCATGTTTTCCTCTACTAGGATATGTTAACAGTCTTCTATGTGCAAACTTAACACTAGGTTAAGAGTCAGACTACATCACTTTGACTCCTGATTCTGGCACCAATTAGCCAGATAATCTTGGTCCTATCATGTAACTTCTCCGTGCTTGACAGAAATGTTGAGATAATAAAATTAGTTCATATACATAAATCGCTTAGAGCAGTAGCTGGCACATAGTAAGTACTATTTAATTACTATTTAAGTGTTAACTATTACTATTTCTTTTAAAATAATTTTGAGGCACCATATTGCTTTTTCTTTACATGTTGATGGTGCAGGGGATTCCTGCCTCACTCAAGGGTTTGAGCCGAAGTCCTGAAAAGGTAACCTTTCCAACCCAGACCCATGGCCTTTTCCCCAGTGGCCCGCTAGGGGTCTTAGGCAGTTGTAACAGTCACTTCATGTGGCAGCACACAGGTTCCCAACCAGGGGCTCCAGAGCCCTCAAGATCATGAGTTTATTATTTCTCAAATTCTAGTATAAATCATTCACTTACTTGTAACAAGGCTACGGGTACAGTGCCTGGCACATAGCAGGTTGTTGTTAGTAAAATGAATGGATTATAACTGCTGGTTTTGTTTCTTTCCTTTTGGATGTAATTATATCAGCAGTGTGCTTATCCTATTCTGGAAAAAAGATCAGTTTGTGTTAATGCATGTCTCACGAATAAAAATGAGAAAGTAAATTAATCATGTCTTTAAAAAATACAGATTGTTCAGTGGACTATATCTTTTAAAATATGAAGTCCATGTTGAAGGAGGGGCTAATCAGAGGGAGCCTCATTGACTAAAAGGTTGCAAATTGCTGAAGTCTAATGTGTTCCCGGCATTTTTCTCATTTTCTTGTATGTGGTTAAATATCTCTATGAAACAAAATAGCATTAATATATTCAAAAAGCAAACCCAGCAGTGGAATGGGAAGAACAGTGCCTGGCTGGTGCAGAATGCATGGTTGAGATGTAATCTTCTATGTGCAAACTTAACGTGCCAGTTGTTTTATTTAGGGAGAGAAAGGAGGGGGGATGCATTAGAGAGAAAGTCCACAGCATAATTAGGAAACAATCAACACGTTTTTCTTGCTGTCCTAATTTTTTCTTCACTTTAAAATGCTCCATTGAGTTTAATTAAACTTGCCCTAGGCTTATAAGCCCAGCAAACTGGGGAACATTTTTTTGAAACTTGCTTTCCTGTCAGAAAGGTTTTCTTCAAGCTGGCCCAGTACTGCTGAACTTCAAGGTTTCAGGGGATGTTAAAACAACTGCAACCAAATTAATGTAGATTATCTTTATTTTTTCCTATTGATTTGAGCAGAGGGGACGGGAAGCTGGGCATTGCCAAATAAAACGCTTCTACAAGGTTATTAAAGATGCTTAGTTTGGGAAGCAGAGAGTAGGAAGATGGTTTTATGTGGTTATGAAGGAGAGAGAAAGAGAGGGATAAAGGGGGTACACAAATTATAATTACCAATATTCCGATGGACTGCTCTTAGGGATGCCATCTCTTCCCCTTTTGGATGTCACTATCTTATTTTGCTTTGGGAAATCACCACTTTTCTACCCCATGTGGTTCGTGTGCAACTATCAACCATTTTGGTCTGCCCTCAACCAGACCCCACCCTCCTTGGCAAAGGGGTGACAGGAATGTGACCACTCTCTCTCTCTCTCTCTCTCTCTCTCCTCTCTCTCTCTCTCTCTGCCCCTTGGAAATTTGAATCTTCTTCAGAGAAACACATAATCAGAAACTTGATATAAATCATTCTAAGTTCAAGGCCATGGAGAGTTTGCCCATTGGCTCCAACCAAGATTCCTTATAGCCTCAGACTCCAGCCCTTTCTAAATCAAGGATGCTCAGTTTTTCATTGGATTTTGTGAGTTCTTCAGTATTTATATTTGTTAGATTGCACAAGATTATGGCTAAGGAAATGAAAAACCCCAAAATCTTAATGACTTACAACAACAGAAATCTTTATCTTGCTCCTGGTTCAAGATTGGCTGTAGGTTGCCGGAAGCTCTGCTTTGTGTACTCTTCACTCCAGGATGAAGGTGTAACTTCTGTTTGGAAAACTGCTACTCTTGTGGCAGACAGAAAGAGCAATGAGGCAATTAAATGATGCTTACCAAACCCTCTGCTTGGGAGGAGCATGTGTTATTTCCTTCACTTGGCCCAAGGAAGCCTAACATCAGAGCGGATGAAAGCATCCTTCCCTTCCAGGGAGGAACCTAATAGCGAGAGGCCAAAAGAGAAGGGCAGCAGACACTTTGGATAATAATACAGTTTGAACACCAGTATGCCAAGTATCAACTGTGTAACTGGGGAGAAATTTCTTAACCTGGCTGGGCGCCATGGCTCATGCTTGTAATCCCAGCACTTTGGGAGGCCAAGGCAGGCAGATCACTTGAGGCCAGGAGTTTGGGACCAGCCTGACCAAAATGGTGAAACCTTGACTCTACTAAAAATACAGATATTAACTGGGTATGGTGGTGCATGCCTGTAATTCCAGCTACTCTGGAGGCTGAGGTTACGGTGAGCTGATATCCCATCACGGCACTCCAGCATGGGTAAAAAAAAAAGACTCCATCTCAAAAAGAAAAAAAAAAAAAAAAAGGAAAGAAAAAGAAATTTCTTAACCTCCCTGAGCTTCACTTTCTACATCTTTACAGCAGTACTCGCCAGTACCTAGTCCCGCTTTTTTTGTGGGCACATGAAAAACTGCACATCCCAGCACTTCACAGTTGGATGGGACCATGTGACAAATCCTTGCCAATGAAATGTGCAGAAGGAATACGTTCTGTTAAAAAAAAAAACCAGTGAAATTCTCTAGAATCAGTCTTTCCTGGATGCAGCAACAAGACCACCAGAAGTTCCTCTGGGGACAGTATCTGTCAGCGTGGGTCTCTTAGTGACTGTGTAAAGCAAAGGAAATGTCCTGCTGCTGATCTAAGTCAGACACTGTGATGAGAAAAAAAGGCCGTACTCTGTTATGCTAAGCCACAGGTTGCGAGGTTAATTTGTTTCTACATCATAACCTAGATTTTCCTGACAAGCATAGAAATTGGTAATGATAATATATTTCTGGTATTAAATTCCTTCCTGTTTGAAATACCTGGAGTAACTTCTAATTTTTGCACTAATATGACTGATAAAAATGCCTAACCCAATCAGGAGATGATGGGGAGGGACCTCTTGTACAAAGTGACAGCTAAGCTATGTCTAAAACAATGAATAGAATAAGAGAAGTGAAGGGGAAGAGACATTTCAGAGTTTACACTATGAACAAAGGCAGGAAGCAGCATCGTGGAGATTCATATTCAATACTATCTACTGAAGTTATAAAAAATGAGGTTGGAGAGATAAATAAGAATTTTTACTCCTGTTAAGGCCACAAGAGGGGGAAGATCTTGTGTCCAACGTTAAGGTGTATGAAGTCACATTACATGAAGGTGATGGAAAGAATCATTGATGGATATTAAAAGGGAAAGACAGAAGGAGGTTATACATGAATTTTAGGTAAATCCCTCCACCTACTACAAGAAGGGTAAATTCAGGTGACGTATTACTAAAAGAAAGGAAGGCTAGGAAGCCATTTAGAAATAGTATTCCTGGAGAAAGTTCATGAAGGCTGAAACTAAAGAAATAGTAAAGGAGATCAGACGAGGGAAGAAACCATAAGATATTCTGGGTATTCAATGAATTACACTTATTGAAAAATTCAGTGTGGTCATGATAAAAGAGAAGAATCAAAGCATGATTCTCAGGTTTCTAAACTGAATGCCTGGGTGAGTGAGATCCCTGAAGTTGAGGAGGATATTACTGGAGGAGCACATTTGGATAATTCATTCAATTTGTTTTTATTCTCATTGAAGCATCATGGGCATATCCAGATAGATATATCCAGGAAAAATTGAATATCTGTGATTAAAACTCAGAGCAGAATTCTAGACTTAAAATATAGATTTGTAGATTTCAAAACCATTCATCTATAATTGGCAGAGAAGAGATTATGGAAGAGAGTGAGATCACAGAGGAAATTTTGGAAGAGTTGTGTTCTGGCAGAACATCAAAATTAAGACTGGAATTCACAAATTAGACATAAAAAAACACCAGAGATGATCAAAGAGAAGAAAGTGGAGTGTAGTGGCATAAAGTGATTGATATGGTTAGACTGTGTCCCCACCCAAATCTCATCTTGAATTGTAAACCCCATAATCCCCATAATCTCCACATGTCAAGGGAGAGAACAGGTGGAGGTAATTGAATCATGGGGGCAGTCCCCCCCCGCCGCCGTGACTCACATTGACACCCCTGTGAGTCAATGGAACCTCTTTCCTTTATAAATTACCCAGTTGTGGGCAGTTCTTTATAGCAGTATGAAAATGAACTGATATGGTAATAATAACAAAAGTGTCAAAAGCACAGTTTTGGTAAGCTATAATCTAAAAAAGGTCTACTGGGTTTGACAACAAGGAAGATGGCAGTAGGATTTGGGAAGGAATTAGAAATCAATAGAAATAGGAAATAGTCTGTATATATTTTTTAAAAGATAACAAGATAGCTATATGGAATCAATGGGAGAAACTTCTGAACATGTTTCTAAGCTTCAAAGAAGCAATCCTAAAAATAAAGGTAGAAGATATTTATGGTAAAGATGAAGAGAGATGGAGTAAAGCCTCCATGGGCAAATGAAGAATCAGAGTCAAGAATAAAGGTGGAAGTTTGGCTTAGAACATTAGAGACACCGTGTCCTATAGAACTAGAAAAAGGGAGATGAGTCACATTGTGGATAAAGAAAATCTGCTGGTAGGACTTAGAAAAGAAATGTCAGAGGTCAGGAGGGGACTAACAGACAGAAAAAACAGAAGATTCAAGGACTTTGAGGTCTCTAATAACTTAAAGAACAGTGATTTAGTGAGTGACTTTACATGATTAGAGAAATAGGAAGTCATGATAGGAATAATTAAGATACAGCCTCACTGAATTTAAGATTATAGAAATGACACAGTTCATTCTGGATAGACATAAGTTCAGAGTTTCTATAGCAAAGAGAGAGTGAAATGAAAAGTAGGGAAAGACTTTAGGGGTGAACAAGCCAAGAAACCTTGGGTTTAGAGTATTTGCATGGTTACTACACATGGATTCATAGTGTTACTAAACTTGGGGTAGACTATGAAGACTGTTTCCAAGTCTTTAGTGACCAAGAGCTAGGAAAAATGAGTTGGTAAAAAACAGCAATGATTATGATCTAGTGTGACTACATACTTTTACTTGAGAATAAAGGAATATTGGTTGAGAAGTCACATGAGAATGAGAAGACTATCAAGCCCATTCCCAGTGTAAGCCAAAAGTGTTTCAGTCTGAATGAAAAAAAATATAGTCACCCTAACTAAGAAAAAAATGGATTTGTAGGAAACACTCAAGTTTCAGCTAAGAAAAAAGGTGGGAAAAGTATTTTGTGCCTAGATCTATGTCATAAAAAGAAGGTTAATGAGGTGATTTTCTGGGGTATGTTTGTATGTGTGCTTCTTCAAGTCCCTCCATAACTGACTGCAAGATACTGCCCTCCTTTCTTTCTGCTGTAGAAATTCTCCTCAATAGCTTATCATTCTATCCTTACTGTCCTCACGTCAAAGGCTTCAATTAGTATTCCTATGTATATCTAAGTCTTAACAGGCCCAGTTTGAATTCTACCTTTGTTATTAAGCATTCTCAGACTATATAACAACCTTTTTGGACTTTTCTATTTTATGAACCACTATGCACTTTTTGGATATGTCAGTGTGGGGTACATCATTATATGCTGCTCATGAATCACTGTGTTGACTTTGCTCTCGCAAATAGCTGCAAGCTCTTTGAGAACATAATAGGTATTGTGGCTACTTACTGCTTTGGCTTCGTTTTACTGCTCCATCTCTATTTCTCTGGAAGAATTGCCTCTTGCCAATTTTAGATATATGTTTTTGTTGGAGATAAAAAGTACTAGTTAAAATATTCTACCTCATCCCTCCAATCTCAGAAATAACCAGATCACCAAGGATAGACCAGTTATAATACTGTATCCTGGTAGAAATGGTGATTTGTTTGTAGGATAGCTAATAAGAGTTCTTCTCTTGGATTTTCCAAATGGGAGCTGGAAGGGAAGGAAAGATACCCTGTCTCTTTGGTTCTCAAGATGTTAGTATGGGACTTCCTAGCTAATGGCAGATGTTTTCTATGATAGTTAATTTTTTTGTGTCCACTTGACGTGGGTCATGGAGTACAAGACATTTGGTAAAACATTATTCTGGATGTTTCCGTGAGGATATTTTTGGATAAAATAAACATTTAAATTGATAGAGTGAGTAAAGCAGATTGCCCTCCCAAATGTGAGTGGGCCTCATCCAATGGGTCTAAGTCCTGACTAGAGCAAAAATCTGACCATCCCTTAAGACAGAATTCTTCCTTTCTGACTGCCTTTGAATTAAAAAGTTGCTTTTTCCCCTTATGTTTGGACTCAAATGGAAACATCAGCTCTTCCTGGGTCTCAGGCCTTCAGACTCAGACGAAAACTAAACCATCTCCTCTCCTTGGTCCCTAGCTTGCTCACTCTCCCTGGAGATCTTGGGACTTGCAAGCCTCCATACTCTTATGAGACAATTCCTTATAATAAATAATAAACAAACAAATAAAAGGGAATGAATTGACATCTAGAGATAAGAGGAAGAGAGAATGAGAGACACGACTTCAAGACACCAAGTCTCCAGTTTTTATTTCATTTCTGATGTTCCTAGGTAATGTCTATAGTATTGTTCCCTTCAATTCTGTGAGCTAACCCAGAATCTTCCAGTAAATTCCTCTGGTGTTCTAATTAGCTTGAGCTGTGCTTCTGATCCTTGCAACCAAAAGAACCCTAACTGAAACAGTATATGTCTTATACGTCTATATTTCCTTTAACACTCAGGACTGTACAGAGCTCATGTTTGATTCAATAAAAACTTTGATTGATTGATTCATTGATTGATATTGGAATTAGATTACTCCTTTGCTCAGTTTGTTTCCTGTTAGACTCTTGGCCTTCTCAATATTTCATTCT